GTTTTAACTCAATAATATAGAACCATCATGTTAGGTTACATAAGATCCCTAGCAAAGAATTTAGTTATCCATAACCATCTTAGAAACAAACAATTTACTTATGAACATAAAATACAAAGTTTGAATTAAGATAGAAAAACCCTTAGATGAATCCATTGTAGTTGAACTCCTCCTTCGACAAATCTTGAAGGCTATGAACGGCTACGAATGTGAGTATGTCAATTGGGTGAGCACGTTATCTAGGTCTTCCTGAGAACGTACAGGTACATTAATAAAGTTGACCCATCTGCACAGGCCGTTTCTTGACTTCCAAGTTGCTAATTCTAAATTGCTGCCTTTTTTGCTTTTTTTCACCATATTTTGCTCCTTTTAGCTCCCACTCACCAATAAAGATGATTTCCTATAAAACTCACTCTAAACACATCAAAATAACTAATTTCATCGAAGAAACTAACGCAAATCATAGGAATAGGGCATAGAAAATAAGCACAAATATGGAGTTATCAAATACCCCCAAACCTATCTTTTGCTAGTCCTAGAGCAAAAGGGAAACAAAACAAACTTAGAAAACAAAACAAGAAGTTAATCTAGGCCACTTTCGTAAGGAATCACGATGGCACTTAGCACGTGCCACAAGCCTTTAAACCCCTAGGTGTCCCTAGTAGGAGGAGTTGTGTCTCTTGACGGTTTACCAAATACGATATCCACAAACGCTTTTCTGCAGAACAAAAACTTTAAAATACCACTTTCAACAAACTAATAAAAATCAATGTATGCCGAAACCACTATCTTAAGAGTAAAATGTTGCCATTTAAGTAAATGCCCCTAGTGTTTAGTGTAGAGCCAAACTTCAAATACATTTGCTTAAAAGCAACCACATCTCAATGTCAAGGATAGAATTCGTCTCAACTCTAGGCCTCAAATGGAATCTCTCTTATTTTCACACAGAACCTAGGCTTACACTCTCATCAAGCACATGCGAATAGAGTTTATGTATAGGGATGCAAGTTTTATCGCATATGAATTTTAAGAAATAAAAGCCCAATTTCTGAAAATAGGCCTCATGAAAAGAATTAAATATTAAGAATGTAGGTACATACCTTCACCTTCAAGCAAGATGTTCCAAAAGATCTGTTAGGTCTTTACTAGGGTTGTAACGTAAGGCTCGACTATGGGCTATAAAAGAAAGGGAAAGAAAGACTAGAACTTGAGACATACCAAGGTTCCTTCATGCAAATTTTTGAAATATATGGTCGGCTCTTCTCGTCGAATTTGGTGCTTGGCGTCTAGGATTTTGTGCTTTTCCTCTACTTTACTTGGAATGATTTCAAACTTTTGATCTTTAGAATTGCGTACTTCTTTATTGGCCCAATTTTAAAGCTCTTTTGATTTTTTTTTTCTTTGAATACTAATCAATTTTCAAACACTTGCAATTTAGCATGTTTTCCCTCGGTACATGCCACTTCTTTCGTGCAGAGCTCAACCTCTTGACTTTATCTTCATCACCTTGGCATATCCCAAGCTATAGGGTATAGCTTAGAATTGGTTTAAATGGGTAAAGATTGATATGGGTGATGAAAGAAAAGGTTAAGTGTTTGGCTTTAAAAGGGTAAACGATGCACACAAAGGGTATGGATTAAGGCATTTTAGTGGTGGAAACATGCATAGCCTAAGATCATCTCTTAAGGTCCACTCAACTTGAAAGCAACGCACCTATACAAAGTAAGAAATTTCTTTAGTATCCAGTGCAAAACCTAATGAGATCTTCTAATGAAGAACGAAATTAAAGAGTGTTTAAGAGTAGAAACAATAAAACCCACTCAAAGAATGGCTTAAAGCTCAAATAGCTCACAAGGGTAGTCTCCACTATTCTTCCCCAATCATTCGGGTATGGTCAGTGCCGGCCCTGGGCAAAAGTCTAAGAGTGTGCCCTTTATACATAAATTAATAATTATATATTTTATTTTTATCAAATAATTAATTTTATTAAAATTAGAAGAGTTTAGAAAAGGAAATGAAGAACAATTTTGGGCCTCATTAAAACCTTGTTTGAGGAAAATCTAGCTCAAACGAAGGAAAAAGAGTACTCGACATAAAAAAATATTACATTCAACAACAACTTAACTTTCAATGTCTACATGCTGCACCACCAATATCTTCCACATGATAGCAAATTACCACCATATGCACCTACAAAGTAACAAAATATCATTTAAAATGTCTTCTTATTGCAGTTTTAGAAGCAAAATCATCAATTATATTATCATATTTAATATTTTCTAACATATCCTTTTCAATACACAATATTGCTAGTCCATTCAACCTAGCTATCTTGAGCCATGGTGGTTCGCAAGTAAGATTTTAATAATTTTAATTTGGAAAAACTTCTTTCAGCAGATGCCACTGTGACAGGTATAGTCAATAATATCCTATAAGCAACCATTGCATTTGGAAACATATCCACACTTTTTACAAATTCTAAAATTTTAATGGAGGTCCTTGGTTTATCCGTTTCATATGCTTCTCTTGGTAACATCACTTGCAACTAGGCATATAAAACGGGCCGGGCCGGGCCAGCCCAGCCCTAAGAGGTGTAAGCCCAGGCCCTAACTAGTAACGGGCCTTTTCAGCCCTAAGGAATTATCGGGCCGGGCCGGGCCAGCCCTATATCAAATATACAAAGCCCAGGCCCTACCCATGGGCCTAACATTTTCGGGCTTATGATCGGGCCAATGAGTCGGGCCTATTTAGCCCTATAAAATGGGCCATTATTTTATGCTTTATTAAACTCCACTTGTTTTTTATGTTTGAAAACTTCATCCATAATTATATAATAACAACAATACATTGAAATTTTGAAATAATGTTGAAACAAAATTGAAATAGACTACAAAACAATAAAAATGAAAATATTTATTCTGCATCTTGGACAAACCACTCCGGCCATTCTTGTTCATCTTGTACAATCATTTTCTTTTTGACTTTCTTTTTTTCTTGTTTAATCCAATCACTTCCACAAATGCACGCTTCAACACTAAACTTGATGTTGATTTTACAGCCAATTCATTGATTAAATTCAATAAATAACCAATTCATTGATTACTAATCACTATTTGGAGCCAAACTTGCTCGATGGTCACTTATAACACGTCCACCTTTGCTAAAAGCTGATTCATAAGCAACTGAAGACACTGGAATGGTTAAAATATCACGGGCTATGGTGGAAAGCACAGGGTAATTTTTTTGCTGTGATTTCCACCATACCAAAATATTTAAAGGATTATTTTCATCATCATCCATTTCTGTGTGTGAATCAAGATAGCGTGATAATTCATTAGATGAAAAATTGCTTGTGTTTAACCTTTTAGAATCACAAAGATCATCCACACGACTTCTTTTTCTACTAAATGTTGAAGTGCAAGATGTAGATGATGTAGGTGCAGCTTGTTCATGTTGTGATCTACTATCATGTAAAGACAAATATAATTTATATTCTTAATATAACTCTTTTAATGTTGTGAGCACTTTTTTCACAATTGTATTTGCATTTCCTTCATAAAGAATTTCACAGAGTACTTCTAAAATTTTTGTTTTATTTCTTGGATCTAAAATTACACCCAAATCATAAATCAAGGGCAAATCCCCAAAGTACTTTGCAAATTTTGACTTCATATCACATACATTAAGCTGTTTGGAAAGATCATTGTTTTCACTTTCAAGAGTAAGACAAATGTCTTTTATTTTAGTTATTTCTTTTAGTACCAAACGAATAGTTGGATAGTCAGAACCAGAAATTATTTTAGTGGATTCATAAAATTGAACTAAATGTTCTCTCCAAAGTGTTGCAATATCCCAATCTTCATATGTTAAAAAGGGTTGATGTTTGATTTTTGTTTGAAATAATCCTAAAGCTCCTTTATATTTTGTAGCCACTTCCAACATCTTATAAGTTGAATTCCATCTAGTTTTCACATCTAATGGAACATTTCTGAGTTTTAACCCTATGTTTTGGCAACATGTTTGAAAAGTTTGGTACTTGGTCGGTGATGTATGAAGGGTGGTTACTAAACTTCTAATATTTGCTATGGATTGATTAATTGTTTTGAAACCATCTTGCACAATTAAATTTAAAATATGAGCAACAACAATGAACATGCAATCATTTACCCTTCAGTGGGAGCTCAAGTAAAATTGCTTTAAGATAGTTTTGTACCACATCGTTACTAGATGCATTATCCAAAGTCATTGAGAAAATTTTATCACGTATACCCCACTTAACTAATTCAGATGCTATAAGATCTCCTACTTCTACACCTGTGTGGTTCTTTTCAACCCTAATAAATGAAATAATTCTTTTATTTAGTCTCCACTCCAAATCGGTTACGGGTACGGGGGAGACCCGAAAAAAAAATCCCCGACGGGTTCGGGCCGGGTATGGTAAGTGTGTCCCCGTCCCCGAACCCGGCCCGAAATATATATTTATAATTTTAATTAATAAATATGCCAGTATATTTTTATATTTATGTATAAGTCTAACCCTAAGTAAGTTAACCTCTCATATTTTCCCTAATCCTCTCTAACCTCCATCCAACAGCCGCCGCGCGCCTATTTCTCTCTCTCTCTCTCTCTGTCTTTTTCTCCTGCTTCAGTCGCAGAACCCATCTCTCTTTCTTTCTTAACAAACATTCTAGTCATTCTTGTCTTTGTTGTTTGGAAAGCTCGCAGGTATTCTTTTTCTACTTTCTTTTTGTGGTTATGATTACTTGGGTTTATGTGGGTCTACGACAGATGTGCTATGAGGGAAAGTTTTTGGATTATATGGGTGGAAAGAAACAAGAGAGCATTCGTTGAATTTTTTTTGGGTTTAGTCAGAGAGCTGTCATTTTCTGTTAGTTTTTTTGTATAATTTTCCTAAAAGTTTTTCACTACTCTTGTAATTTTGATGAATGAAAATGGTTGCTTTGCTGGCTGATTGAAAAAGCAGGGGCAAGTTCTTACATATGGAGGTTCAAAGTGAGAGAGCTGAGGTTAGTGAACATTCATTTTGTAATGTTTTTTTTTTCTTTTTAGAAATTCAGATTTATTTTAGTGGCTGACAACTAACTTGTTTTTTTTTCCTATATCAGACACAAGATGAAGAGAATGAAACTCCCAAAACCCAAAATGAGGATAAAAGCAGCCCTGCACCAATGAAAATGATATCAACACGGCAGAATCAGGTGTCCCTCAACTTGATGGGAATAAAGTAAGAAAAGTCAGATCGCCTGCTTGGGAACATTTTGAAAAAATAGAAATTGGTGGTCAATTGAGAGCTGTATGTATTCATTGTAAAAAGAGTTTAGGAGTAAATAGTAAGAATGGGACTAGACATTTACTTGATCATATGAAGACTTGTGTTTATAAAAGACAAAAAACCATGAATCAGTTCATGTTGAATCCTACAAAGTCAAGTGATGGGTCAGTTAAGCTTAATACTTATAATTTTAACCATGAACATGCTAGGAGAGCACTTGCAAATATGATTATTCTTCATGAGTATCCATTATCCTTGGTTGATCATATTGGATTCAAGATACATTCCAATACTTTGCAACCATTGTTTAAAGTGTGTTCTCGAAACACAGTCAAGAAAGATATATTTAAGATTTTTGAAATTGAAAGAGAGAGAACAATGAAGTTGTTGGACACGAATAAAAGTAAAATTGCAATTACAACCGATATGTGGACATCGAATAATCAAAAGAGGGGATTCATGACCGTCACATCACATTTCATTGATGATGCATGGAAATTACAAAGTCGTTTGATAAGGTAAATTTATTATATTTTTTTTATTTGAATTGTTAGTATTTTTTTAATAATTAGATTGTGACTTCGTTGATTTTTTTTATAATTGTAGGTTTATATATGTACCATGTCCACATACTGCGGATGTACTTGCGGATGCTCTAATGGAATGCATGTATGATTGGAATTTTGACAGTAAGTTGTCTACCTTAACTGTAGATAATTGTTTTACGAATGATTCTATGATTGCGATAATTTTAGATAAGCTTTCCTATAGTTCACTTATGTTGGATGGACGTTTATTCCCCATGCGTTGTTGTGCACATATTTTGAATTTGGTGGTGAGAGATGACTTAGAGGTGATTAAAAATAGTATTGAGAAAATTAGGTATAGTGTTGCATTTTGGCTTGGAACTCAAAAAAGAGAGGAGAAATTTATTGAAACAACCAAACAATTGAGAGTTCCAACATCTAAAATGTTGGAACTTGATTGCAAAACTAGATGGAACTCTACATATTCCATGCTTAAGACTGCAATGATTTACAAAGATATTTTTCCTCGTTTGAAGCATCGTGAGCCTTTGTACAAAGAAGTGCCTAGTGAAAGTGATTGGGTAAAGACAAATGAGCTTGTCGATAAGTTGGGAATATTTTATGATGTGACTTTGCTTTTTTCAGAGACAAAGTATCCTACTGCCAATCTCTACTTTAAGAATATTTGCGCGATTAGATTAGCAATTTGTGATTGTCTTGTTTCTGACCAAGAAGATGTGAAAACAATAGCATTACAAATGCAAAAAAAGTTTGAGAAGTATTGGGATACAATGCATGGGTTAATGGGGGTTGCAAGTATTTTGGATCCACGGTATAAGATGAAACAAATTGAGTTTTTGTGTCCTCTAATATATGGAGACAATGCAGCCCAAGAGGTCTTCAAATATAAAAATATTCTTTATGACTTGGTCAAGGAGTATCAATCAAAATCTCAACAAAGTCACCATGTGCAGCATGAATCCTCTATTAATAACCCTTTATCAAGAGCAACTATGCCTAAACTTGATTTGGTAAAACAATTGGATGTGTTTGTTTCTCATTCCACGACTAATACACATGTTAAATATGAGTTGGATCATTATTTGGATGAGTCTCATTTACCTAGGAATGATGATGATGATTTTGAAATATTATGTTGGTGGAAATCAAATGGGATCAAATACCCTACATTGCATGATATTGCTAGAGATATTTTGGCCATTCCTGTATCTACAGTTGCTTCAGAGTATTGCTTTAGTACTAGTGGAAGGATTATAAGTCCTCATCATAGCCGGCTTCATTCAAAAATAGTGGAGGCATTGATGTGTGCTCGTGATTGGTTATGGAGTAAGATATGTTCAAATATTTTTATGGTTTTTTTTTTTTTCAGATTAAGTAAAGTATTTTTATCATTGTGTGATGATTATTTTTTGTTATATCATTAAGTTCATATGCCAATGATAATGATGGTGTTGAAAAAGTTAGCATTCAAGATGAAGAGGTTGATACTAATGAAGAGGTAACATTCTCATTATACAATGATTTATTTTGTTTACCGGTTTTCCATCATATATAATTTATTCTCCTTGAAGTCATTGTAATGCATTTATCATGTTTGTTATGCAGGAATCTACCATTGAAACAGAGAATGTATCTTTGTTTTTTGACTAAGTTGTGACTTAGATTTATTTGTGCTTATTTTGATTAAGTTGTGTACTTATTTGTTTTTGTGAGATTGGTATGAACATTAACTTTGTAAGATGATGAAGCTTTCAATTTCATTTTTTTTATAATTATATTATTTGTTGTTTATTGGGTTTTTTAAAATGAATTGAGGCGATTTTGAGTATATGAGTTTAATTTTATATTTATATTAAATGTGTTTAATGATAAATTAATGTGAGAATAATTTTTAAGAAGAAAATTCGGGGATTCGTGGCGGGTATGGGGGATGGTCCCCCGACGGGTACGAGACGGGGATTCCCCGAACCTTATTAAATGGGGATGGGGGAGGGTTTGGGAATTGGGAACGGGGATGGTATTGGCAAACCCGGACCATACTCGGCCCGTTGCCATCCCTAGCTGTGATACACATATAATAAAGATTTTGATGTTTGGCATTCCATAAATCTGAAGTTAAGCTTATCTTACCTTGATAATTACGGAAATATTTTTTCAGCTCCTCCTTCCCATCTTGATGCATCTTTAATATTATATTCCTGCAAGTATTCCTTGAAAAACTCTTAAATTCTGGACAAAATCCACCAGTTATCATTTCAACAAAAGCATCATCCTCACTGGTAGAAAATGGCAAATCTTTTTCAAGAATATAAGTAACCGCATGTAATTTTCCAAGTTCAACATTATACTTAAAAGTGCCTACTTTTCCAAAAAGTTGTACATTTAACTGCATTTGCCTAATATCCAAGTTTGTTCTTTTGATACATGAATCTTTATGTCTTTTTAAGTGACTAGTACCACCTGTGGATGCACAAGAAAATAACTTTTTACAATAATTGCATTCGGCTTTTACTTCTTGTTTACCATCTTTTTCAATATCAATTTTCTTAAAATGTGACCATGCATCAGAAGCTTGTTTTTGTTTTTGACTAGAGGGAATAGCTTGAGAGGGGTCAGCAGCAACAACAGGGATCTCAATAGGCTGGCTTTGAGTATAGTCCATTTTAAAATTTCTAATTAACATGGAAATTTGAACAGCACAAGCACAAGTTGAAAGAAGATATTTAAATAGAGATCAAATACCAAGGGAAATAAACTAATATGCTTCAATAAATTGTATATAAAATACCGCAAACTTGAGGAACACAAGCTCGAAGTTGAAAGCAATTTGATAGCAAAGCTGCTGAGATGATTTAACTCCAATTTGAGAGCTGCATAAGTGTGAGAGAAGAATGGAATCGTCTGTCTAGAAAAAATTCTCTGGTTTGAAAGAAAGAAAGAAAGCTACTCCATCTTAAAGAAAGAAAAGTTATTGGATGCCATTTCTTAGTCATCATAAGCTTTCAACCTCCAAGAAAGAAAGTTGCCAACAAAGCATGAGCTTTCAACTTTCAAGAAAGAAAATGGCAAACAGCTTTCAACTTTCATGAAAGAAAGTTGCAAGTTGCCAACAAAATATTCTTTGGAGTGATAATATTACATATAATATAATTATATTAATTAAATTAAATAATTATAATCGGGCGTGGCTGGGCTTTTAAAGGGCTTAAAAATGAGGCCCAAGTCCTACTCATTAGACTTCGGGCCGGGCTTTATTTACAGGCCTACTTGCAACACCTGTAATTCTGACAGTAAATTACATGCATCAACATCTGAAACATCACCAATTTTTTAAAGCATTTTCAAGATTCACGCAAGAAACTTTCAATTGATTAGCATCCAATGAAGTCAACTTTGCAGCATCAAATAAGAACCCAAAAATAGATTCAAAGCAATGCAATTGTTCAAACCTACTCTTCAATTCACCAAGAGCAATGTCTACTATGACAAGAAAATAATTAACTCTAAAAGATTCTTCAACTGATTGTTCTTCCCTTTCATTATTGGAAATCTCATCAAAATGCCTCTTTCTACACATTTGACGTTTTTTAGGAAATACAGGCTCAATTCCCATATCAAATGCAATTTCTTTAGCATCAATCACGGCAGAAATAAACCCATTTATCCTATAGTTTTCAAAAAATGCAACAAGTCCTTCTAATTGTTTTACAGCAACATCAAGACGCATGTCTTCAGATTGTAATTTTTTACTAACTAAGTTAATCTTGTGCAATATGTTATGCCAAATAACCAAGCTTAATATGAAGTCAAAACTTGAAAGCTCTCCCGATGCTAAACTTTGAGCATCCCTACTCAATTTAGCATCTTCACTAATTTCTGCTAATTTAAATAAAGCATCTCTGATTTGGGCAGCTTGTGATTTTATTGCTTTGACACTATCAATGTGACTTTCCCAACGTGTAGTTGACAATGATTTCAAAGTTAAACCATCTATATAATCAAGTAACACATTCCATCGTTTTGTTGAATTAGAGAATACCGTATATATGCATTGACATGCTCCAAAAAAAGATTTTGCTTTAACACATGACTTGGCCATATCACAAAGTATTAAGTTAAGACAATGAGAACCACATGGCATGTAAAATGCTCTAGAATTTATGTCAAGTAATCTTTTTTGTACACCTAGGTTCAAGGACGGAACCATGAATTTTTATAGGGGTGGGCTAATTTTTTTTTCCAATAAGATATCTAACATAAGCTCGTTTGTCATAAAGTAATATATACATAAACACCAAATTAAACACACATTGTCAAACCTCAAACAAATACTACTGCCATACCATCAAGAACTATAGGTAACATACGCCAAAATTTCAATAAAAAAAAATCAATAAGATTATTGTACCTGAAGAGTGTATTGCAGCCTTTGGTAGAATTCCAATTTCAAATTTCCTTATTTTCTCAATACCTGTAGAAATACATATAAACCCAAATATTAATTTAAAATGACATTTTATCATTTACCAAATGCGCCATAAACACATAGATTGAATTTTGAAATGAAACCTACAATGATGAAGTTTACCTCTTGAGAGGAAATCAGTATCGGCTCATTCATTATCAAGTTCAAAGAGATTTAATGACAGGTTTTCGATGGCCAAGACCAAGAGAAACGAAAACAGAGGCTTGATTGATGTTAAGCCAAAGAAGAGAGCTGAAGGTTAATAGGGAAAAGAGAAGAATGTATGTGCGATGGGAGAAGAGATATACCAATATGTTGTTTTTTATTAGCTTATTATATTAGAGACAACATGGAATGTGATGAGCTTTATTTGCTATTTTTGTCAAACTAATATTAAACAAAAGAAAAGCACAAGACAAGGAGACATGACATTAGCTAGGGATGATGGGCTAATATTTTTGGGAGTGAAAATAACCGTATAAAATCTACACTCAGTTTAATATTTTACAATTTTTGCACTGGGCTAGAGCCCACCTGAGCCTATACACAGTTCCGTCATTGCCTAGGTTCTTTCCTTTCATATTTGATCCATTATCATAACCTTGCCCCCTCACATCATCAATATTAAGTTAAGTGGACTTTATTACAGCTTGTAATTCATTAAAAATTCCCAATCCAGATGTATCCTCCACAATTAGAAACTCTAAAAAGTACTCTTCTATATTTATAGGAGTACATGAAACATCTACACACCTTAATATTAAAGTTATTTGTTCTTTGTGACTTGCATCAGGGGTACAATCAAGAATCACTGAAAAATATTTTGCCTCTTTAATTTTTTTTATGATTGCAACTTTAACATTTGATGCTAAAATAGCTATCAACTCATTTTGAATTTTATGACTAACATAATGATAATGAATTTTCTTATCTCGAATGAGACGAAAATGATGTTGCATGACTGGATCAAACTCAGCAATCATTTCAAGTATGCCTAAAAAGTTACCATTGCCATTGTCATAAACTTTTTCATTTGTTCCACGAAATGCCAAATTATGTGTAGCAAGACATTTCACCACAACAATGATTCTAACAATCACATTTTTCCAGTGTAGTGTATCTTTCTTGATTAGCTCTTGTAACTCTTTATCAATTGTTTGACTTGTTTTCAATCTGATTTGCAATTCAACACAATACCTTAAGTTAGTGAGGTGTTCAATACTGTTTTCATGTTGTTTAAGCTTGTCACCAAGATGTTTCCAATCTCTGGATCCTTCACTTGCTAATTGACTTCTAGCTTGCATTGTTTTAAATAGCTTACAACAAAAACAGAACACCTTATCCAACTATTTTGAGTACACTAGCCATCTTCTATCATGAGTCTCCCCATTTGTTAATGTTCTAGTATAAAAATTATAGGAAAAATGTCTAGAGTGTTCATCCAAAGGGAATTTCAAATTAGTTTCTCTTACGGGCCCATTTTCTAAAAGCAAATCTCTCATTTTAGCATCAAGATTATCCCAAACTCTTGGATCATAAATGTTTAAATAATTTGCATTTGCATTTTCATTTTCTGCTCTTTCATTCTCATTTTCATCTATGTCATCACTTTGATTTTCATTTACATCATTTTGATTTTCATTTGGTGGCGGTAAATCTTCAGCTAAATTTTCAAGTGAACTAGTATAAGTTTGTTTAAGAAAATATTTGTTCAAAGTTCCTCTTAGGCTTTGAGCAATCTTTAATTCTTTTTTCTTTGTTTGTCTTTTGAGGTTTCCAGAAAGCTGTTTCTTAAACATGTTTAAATTTGTATCATAAACACAAGCATAAACAGACAGCAATAGCAAATTAAAATAGCAATGAAAGAACAATAAAACTTGATTGCTGCCAATGCTTTCTATTGCAGTTTTTACCAAGACGGAAGAACCAGCCAGTAGAACTAATTAAATTGCTTTCAAGATCAATTGCTTTCTCAATATCATTCTTCTCTCTGTCTCTGGAAAAAGAGAATGTTCAGACTTCTTATTACAGAAAATATACCACAACACAAATACCCATATAAAACAAAAATAAAATAAACCACACATACTCATCATCACGCGGCACGCCTTGTTCTTGAGCCTGTTGAGAATGAATTGAAATGACATAAAGCACTGCCTTTTGCTTGTTTAGCTCGAAAGCTGACAGCCCATACCCATATAGCATTAGTGTATTATATATACCCATAACCCATTACTTTTAGTTTTCTATAAGAAGTTTCAGTTTTTTTATGAGGAATTAATATTTTTTTTTGCATATACATATATATGAGCTATATATAATTTTTTTTTTGGGCCCCGGGCAATGGCCCTAGTTGCCCTGGCCAAGGGCCGGCTCTGGGTATGGTACTTTGTCCACCAAAACATTAAGAGCATGGAATTATGAGTGCAATAGAATATGATGCAAAAACCTTCATGGCAACATTTTAATAAGAATTAATGATCAAAACATAGCATATATGTCTCTATTAGTAAGCAAAAGTGGTACCTTAACTTAGAAAACAAAGGTTTCAAAAACTGCAAAATTTCAACGTTGATCAACGTCTAGTTTTCAGTGAATATCTTGAAAAATACTTCGTAGATTTTGCCCAATTCTATATTCCCAGAAAATAGACATAAAAGTACACAACTTTCATTCAGACAAATTCTCGAAACTCGTTTTGGAAAATTGTGAAAATAGAACACGTCTAGAATCGTATGACTGACTTTCCAGTTTTGACCCCTAATTTAAAATGTGATCATAACTTCCAAACGCAAAATCTGATTTTTAAGCTCTTGGTATGAATAGATTCAGTACAAAATACTGAAGAAGACATGGCAAGCCAAATCTTCAAATTGATTACCAAAAAAAAAAATTTAAGTAAACAGAAACCTTACATTTTTAAAGACAAAAACACTGAGAATGAAAAACTAAAATGCTAAAACGAATAAAAACAACAACAAATTCAATTCCACACCCCACACCTAAACTAAACATTGCCCTCAATGTTTAAAGTAAAGATATTATGCAATCAATGGTTAGGATAAGCATAGGATGCATGAAATTAAAACACAACAAACGAAAAGCAAAAACTGAAAACATAAAGTATGAAACGAAGGTACCTAGGTGGGTTGCCTCCCACCAAGCGCTTTATTTAACATCTATGCAAGACGGAGGGCATTATCTAAGGCTCCACAAAGTCCAATGAATCCATAACTCCTGAGGGGCCTTCCAAGTAAAGTTTCAATCGATGCCCATTGAGCAGACATAGTGTGTACCAATCTTTTTGGGTCACCATTGTCCAATTGGTGATCCTATGACCATGAACATTTTAGGATATGATATATCACGATGGGAAGGTCTCGTGAATCTAACATCCTTAGATTGCTTTCCATTTATATCACTATCTATGGACTTGCCACTTTATCGTTTGCATATACGTTCCCTAAAGTAACATTCACGCCCTATTAATTATAGTTATAAAATGTTATATCCTTAGAATTTCTATTTTTATATAGGCTTCTAGGGCATATTTCTAACATCTAGTTCGCTTCTTTCCCATCATTTTGATGTGTTCCTGAGTTTTGATATGTCTAATGAAGAAAAGAAAGCAATGATGACGTTTTCCTACTCAAACTAAGAAAAGGTAGTTGTCCTTGTTCTTGAAGGAATCCAACTCAAAGGAAGGAAACGATGTTGATGGAAAGCTCGTGGGTGTTGAATCGGAAAGTTTCCCTTCTTGATGAGGAATCCCGTCTCAAATAGGAAAGAGGAAGATTCTAGAAGCTTTTAGAAGGTGCCACATCATAATGCCACATCATCGTGCCAAGTCATCACGATTGCATCCAAGTCATCATGGGAGATGTCACATCACCTTAGTTGCACTTTACTAGTCTAATTGCACCTAGGAGAATGAGATCCCTATCATTACTACAATTCTCAGTCCAAGAGGATATTCAAAAGTCCAAAGTCAAATTCTTATTTAAGAAGGAAAAGGAAAGAAAGGGAAAGTCGTGTGCAATTAGGAGAAAGAAACTACAAGTGTAGAACAATCAACTTCTCAGATTTGGTGTAAATCCCTCATAACGTACCAGCTGATGAGCCATATATTCCTGGAAAGATCAGAAAGGTAGCATTGCGTAGCATTTTACGGTTTGTGATTTGGATAGGTGTACAAAGAGTTAAAGCGTTTTAAGTTTAGACTGCTCATTTCAGGAAAGTCCTTGCTTCCCAAGCAACTTTGCCTAGTTGTCTTAGGGTTTCGTTTGGAAGGTCAGAAAAGCTGTGTCCTAGTCAAATAAGGAGAAAGAAGAGACGTTCCTCCTCTCTACAAAAGCAAGAGATACACCCCTTATTCAGACACAACTTATTCAACCCCAAAATTAGTCAAATTGTGAGAGAGTGTGTGTGTGTGTGGAGCAGCCACCGTCCGCCTTGGAGCCACCTTGTTACCACCATCGTGTTCTTGTTTTCTTCTCTATGCTTTTATATTGTTTTATTTCGTTGATTATGTGCAACTAAATTCGCAACTAGGGCTAGGATGATGCCCTAATTCAAATATTTAGATTTGTGGATGCTAAGTTATTGAGTTTCAAGTTATCGTATTGAACTCTTAATATCTGTTTTATTTGATTCTATATGTTTAATTCTTTTGATTGGCCATCGCCAAGATTTGCATCTAGATTATTTGTGTGTTCTGTATAGACTTAATACATTACATGCTTCATCTAGCTCATAGGGATTAAGGATAAGAAATTCAGAGTAGTGTTAATACGATACTTAGTTTGTTTGTTTCCTAGTTTCCATAGCGCTTAATGAGTTCTTAGTGTTAAGCTTATGCCTTAAGTTCGATAGGTTGCGTTTATGAGCATTAGACCTATACCTCAATACGGATAGTAATATGAATGTAAGGAAACTTGGCTTAAGTGCCCTAAGAAGGACTTAGGTACAGAATAGTCAATACATAATTTGGTTAATTCATAACTTGCATCTAAGAATATGGATAGGCATATTAGTGGTTACTCTGAAACCCTAGTGCTCATTAAAATTTGGAACTCTAATAACCTTAAAACCCTTAAGCGCTATTATTTACTTGTTTCTTTATCGTGACTTGCTTGTTTCAATTTATTGTTTCATTTCGTTTCCTTTAATCTCTTGTTTGCTTTCGAATCATTGCACCTTTTTTTGAGTTCTTAGTTGTTTTTTAATTTTTGGTTAGTGTTAAATAGTTGAGTCATAAACTAAAAATCCAAAAAGGGAGTCTCGAATTAAGTTAAGTTATAAAACCATAATTGATCACTAGTCTTCGTGGGAATGACACTCGTACTTGCATTAGACTATATTATAAATTGATTTGTGCATCACATAAAATTTAATTTTTATTTAAATTGATCTAATATTCAGGTTGGTTTAAACGCACATCACCTATACCATTAGGACCAGCACATGTAGAGGGACAACTTTTGTTCTTGGCTCGATGGCAAAAGAGTGGGTTTTGCCGAAGAAATGCAGGGGTTTAGCAGGAGCTTTTCAAGCTCTAACATACAACATCCACCAAACCTGGTCGGGTAGGCTAGTGTTCTAAAGAGGAGGAAGAGGCGAATTTGTTGCCGAAGTTGAGAGAACGACAACCTGAAAGTTCAGAAATTGCAGAGTCGTTGGCTCCCAAAGCCGTGAGTTTTCGAGGCAAAATCCGGCTGCTACTTTAAAGCTACTAACAAATACTTAAAGGCTACCATAGTTATTGAGTTTCAAAGGGTAAAGTGAGACTCAAATTGAGTTTCAAGGGACATATAAATCCAGGTATGCTAATTAAGAGTCTTTTGCTTTGGTTTAGGGTTATTTATATGTTAAGGGCCCCTTACAAGTTTACAACAAACGACATCTCAAATATGCAAAGGCTTTAAAATCAATGCATGCAGCTTGATGAAAAATCTACACTTGCCAAAGAAAGAACCTTCGAACCCAAAGACAAACGAACCCAAAGCGTGCTTTTGACAACTGGTGTCAACCGTATGATTTCCAAAGACCCCATAAACGCCATGGCCACCACCCCGACCACCAAAGCCACCACCGTTTCCGGCTACTGTTAACAGCCATGACATGCATGCACGTGCTGTTTGTCTGTGCAAGCCACCACCCCCTCTAGCCACCCAAACCACCACCCCGACCACCAAAGCCACCACCGAGGGATCTTCCCCTTTAGCCACCCAAACCACCACCCCCGATCACCGAGCTTATACCCCTGCCCCTCTCTCTACTCTCTCTGCAACTTCGTCCCTACCCCATCCCATAACCCATCAACCTAGCCACTCTAGTCTCCCTTTTCACCACCCCGACCCAAAAACCAAATCCCTATCCGACCACCTAGTCATGTCACCTTTATTGCTGTAAATCTCCTTCTCTCCAACCATGGAGAATGAAGTGGAAGCTGCGGATCAGCTCACCATTCACCTTGAAAACAGCCTAGGCTCAACTGAAGACAGGCGTGGCGTAACTCTTGCCGGCTTCCTCATCACTGAGAAAGAACCTCAGATCGGTGGAGTGAAGATTGCCCTCCAACGTGAGTGGCGAAACATCGTACACTCGGACGATGTAAAGATTGCATGGGCCAGCCCCAATGTATATATCATCATTGTTGCATCTGTTGTGGTGGCTAAGAAGCTAATGGAGAAAGGTCCTTGGCACGTCCACGACGACGTCTTCTCCATCCAGCCATGGTCAAGTAACTGTGCACTAGCTGAAATCCACCTAAACAAAGCAACCTATTGGATACAAGCACATGGGATCCCCCTTGGTATGATGACAGGGAGAAATGCTCGACTGATAGGAGGGAGAATTGGCACTGTTATTGGTATTGAGGACCCTACCATCAATGGAACCAGGAGCTTTCTACGGATGAGAATCGAGATTGACTCGACAAAACCCCTTCAGCTTGGGTTCTGGCTTCCCAGGGCGAATGGAGAGAGAACCTGGATCAACCTGAGATATGAGGGATTACGGCGATTCTGCTTCCGTTGCGGCAGACTTGGCCATGCAAACCTTTTGGGCAAACCATGTGTTCATACTCTATGTCCGGTTGCTGCTCAGGAGGAACTGAAGTATGGAGTGGGGTTGGCGGTGAGAACCACTCGAGGGCCTTCTCCCCTCTTTCCTGTTAAACACCCTCGTAATACAAATTTTTCTTT